TATATATATACATATATTTATATATATGTATATATATGTATGTATATATATAAATATTTATATATATGTATATGTATGTATATATGTATGTATGTATATAAATATTTATATGTATAAACATTTATATATGTATATATATTAATGTTATGTAATATCAGAAGTTTAACTTGGAGCAGTTGGATGATTGTCAATTGGAACTCCAGGGTTAAGGAGGATTGAGCTGGAGCAGTGGAAGGATGGGTGACCTACTGGGAAGTGAGTTGCGGGATCGGGATCGGGATAGATGTCGGAGTTGGGGTCGGGGTCGGGGCTGGGGGATCGGGATCGGGATAGATGTCGGGGTCGGAGTTGGGCCGGGGGATCGGGGTCGGGGCTGGAGGATCGGGATCGGTGCCGGGGGTCGGGATCGGGATCGGGATAGATGTCGGGGTCGGAGTTGGGCCGGGGGATCGGGGCTGGAGGATCGGGATCGGAGCCGGGGGTCGGGATCGGGGGGTCGGGATCGAGAATATATTTTGAATTTTTTGTTGGAATGTTCCAACGGATTGCGGTTGGAATTTCCGTTGGAAAATTCCAACGGATATCGGTTGGAAATTCGGTTGGAAAATTCCAACCGATAAATCCGTTGGAAATCCGTTGGAAAATTCCAACGGAAAAATTCGTTGAAGTTCCGTTGAAAATTCCAACGGTTTTCCAACGGACACCGTTTTCTAACGACGAAATTCCAACGGATTTATCTGTTGGAAATCCGTTGGAAACGTTAATTTCCAACGGAAATTTGGTCATTTCCAACGGATTTGCCCGTTGGAAATGACCATTTTTTTTGTAGTGAGAATACAAGTCTTGTATTCCCATCTTGACGGTTAATCTACGAAGATGATCAACCACAACAGGTTTGGTCAAGATGTCTGCTAACTGTTCAGAAGCCGAGATGCGAAAGGGCTTGATAAATCCTAATTTAATCTATTGGCGGACAAAATGACAATCTAATTCAACATGCTTTGTACGCTCATGGAAAACAGGGTTATGAGCAATGTGAACAGTCGAGAGACAGGGTTATGAGCAATGTGAACAGTCGAGAGATTATCACAAAATAGAAAAACAGGCTGCGAGATCACAATACCAAGCTCTTGTAACAAAGGCTGCACCCAAACTAACTCACATGAAGTTTGAACCATTGCTCTATATTCTGATTCAGCACTGCTCAGGGATATAGTCTGCTGCTTTTTTTATTTCCATGAAATCAATGATTTCCCAAAGAAAACGCAAAAGCCCATCATGGAACGCCGAGAGTCGGGGTATGAAGCCCAATCGGCATCAGTGTAAGCATTAAGCTTACTGTCTGATGAAGCAACATAGAACAACCCCTGAGCAGGATTGTGTTTCAGATATCGGAGGACACGAAACCCTGCCTAAAGGTGAGCTCTCCGAGGGGCTGACATATACTGACTTAGCTTTGTAACAGAAAAGCTAATGTTTGGTCTGGTTAGGGCAAGATAAATAAGCTTGCCATTGAGTTTTCGATATAACAGAGGGTCATCGAGTAACTCACCAGAATCCTGTCCAAGTTCTCCCGAGTATCCATGAGTTGTATGGACAAAAAAACTGATGTAGAATCCCTGTTTTGGCAAACAAAGAAGTGAAACGAAGATCATTAGCATTATCAGAACGAATACTTTTGATTGAGGTACTGTATTGATTCTCAACAAAAGTAATGAACTCAGGAAATTTTTGCAAAACATCACTCTTAGATTTAAGGAGATAAACCCAAGTACAATAACTGAAGTCATCAACAACTCAAAAGAAAAAACGATGACCATCAACAGTTGTCTCAGAAAAAGGTCCTCATATGTCAACATGAAGTAACTCAAAGGGAAAACTAGATATATGAGAAGAAACAGGAAAAGACAGATGCCTTTGTTTAGCTAGTGGGCATACAAGACATAAAAGAGAATTAGATATTGGGGTTTTGGAGATCCCTAAACGTGCGTTCACAACGGTTTCTAGGGTTCTAACTTTGGGTTTCACGCAGCGGAATATATAAAGCGAAACCCAATCAACAGATCTTGCATATAATGATAAATGTATCGATATACCAACCTGTTTCGTTCCAAGGACATGTCACAAACACTGAAATCCAACGTTCTCTATAGCTAGTCCACACTCACGGGCTTGCGTCTGCTAGAACATAATCTGGAGGTCGGGAACGAAACCGAGACAATCCCAGGAGAGAGAGAGGACAACCAAGAGAGAGAGGGACGAAAATTCACTTAACCTTAAATTATGTTTCATAAACATAATTATAAAGAAATTAAGGTTTCATTAAATCCATTGGGCCTTAATGGTCTTTCTCTTAACCATTAAGATATATTAGGCCAATTAGCCTTATTAATAAACATATGGACCCATTGGGCCACCTAATCCATCTAATGGATTTCTAATCAGTTTCGCAAACCGATCATGGCCAGAGTACCATATCCATCACTAGAATCATCAGGAGTGAAGGAAATCTGTTAAGACTTGTCAAGGGAATGGACTCTGACATTAGAAGGGTGACAAAGACGGTGATGCCAAAGATCAAACGTTGTGGTTGAGAGTGCAATGCATAAAGGTGTAGACATAGGAACAGACGATGGAGATGTGTGCTACATCTCATAAATATAGAGGTTTTGAACTTGTTTACCCTTGCCAATCATCAAGCCCTGAGTAAAGTCCTGAACCATATAAGAGTCATGAAAAAATGCACAGAACAAGAAGACTGTTGAGTTAAAGAGCTGACACTAAGAAGATTATAATGAAATGATGGAATAAACAAAACAGAAGATAAGGTAATAGAAGGAGACAGGATAACAGTCCCAGACTTAGAAACCAAAATAGACGTATGATTAGGAAGGGATACAGATACAGCTGCTATGTCATGAATCTCATAAAACAATTTCAAATCACAGCAAACATGTGTGCTAGCTCCTGTATCCAAAATCCAAACAGCTGAGGAAAAGTTCATGAAAGGGGCTGATGTTGCAAAAACAAGATGAGAA